AGTGAGGGGCATAAGCATAGAGAAATTGAGTCAGAGGCAAAGGCATACTTGAAAGTCAGTCACTAAGAGTGGGTCAGGAACATTGAAGGAGATTCCTCTAGGAAACAGGTATCTCCTTAACATGACTCAAGAGGAACTTGAAGATGATGGTGCACTAAGGTAACCTTAACAACCAAAGCCTCAATCCCAGTTCATCTCCTGACTAAAWTTTTTTATTAAAAATTCTAATAAAAAAGAAAATAAGCCACTGTCAAGAGCCAAAGCAATCAATACCACCAAACTCAGATATAACAAGAATGTTGGAACTATCAGACAAGGAATTTAAAATAACTATGATTAATATGTTAAATGCTATAATGGAAATGCTAATATTCATATATAGATGAGGAATTTTAGCATTCATCTGGGAATTTTAAGAAGGAATCACATAGAAATGTTAAAAATAAAAATAAAGACAAAGACTGCCTTCAGCAGGTTCTTAAGTAGACTCAACACAGCCAACTGAAGACTCAGCACACTTGCAGATAGGCGAATGGAAGTTACCCAGTCTTCAACACAAAGACAAAAAGAGCAGGGAAAGGGAAAGAAACAAAACTAGCACATCATACCTGTGGAAGACAATATCAAATAGACTAAAACATGTATAATTGAATCCCTGAAGGAGAAGAGTGAGAACAGGACAGAGAAATATTTGAAAAACTAATGGCTAAATTAAAAAAAAAAAAGAGTAAAAGATATCAAACTACAGATTCAAGAAGCTCAGAACCTCAAGAAGGATGAATAATGACAAGGGCTGGGGTTGTGGCTCAGTGGTAGAGTGCTTGCCTAGCACCCTTGAGGCACTGAGTTCAATCCTCAGCACGACATAAAAAAATACMTTGTATCCACTTAAAACTAAAAAATAAATATTAAAAAAATAATAACAAACATTCAAGTTACTGAAAATCAAACATAAAAGAGAGAATCTTGAATGTTGAACRCAAAGAAAAGACCACCGACTCCAACTGAAATCAAATTAAAGCAAACGTGATTTCGACCTGCCGGGCAGGGATGAGCTATACTATTGTCATTTGAAAATTGGGGCTATGGCTGTAGCTCAGTGGTAGAGCGCGTACTTGGTATATTTAAGACTCTGAGATCAATCCTAAACACCAAAACAAACTAAATAAAACAAACAAAAACAGACTGTGACTAATTAAAAATGTACATTGTAAGTCTATGACTAACCATTAATTTTTAAAAATTAAATAGTTTATAGTAGCGATAAAAAGAAATTATATATTCAATCCAGTATCAAAAATAAGAGAATGTGAAATATCTCATTGTTAAAAATATTGCTTTTATATTGAACTGATATATTTATYAAAATTGAAAATCTAAAACACACTGGTATTTGAAGATAATATGGGAAAAAAGGTAAAATTCTCAGTCTGAGGCAAGAGGATCACAAGTTCAAGGCCCTAAACAATTTAGCAAGACCCTGTTTCAAAATAAAAAGTAAAAAAGGCTTAGTGGTTAAGTTCAATCTCTAGTACAAAATAACCAACCAAACAAACAAACAACAACAAAAAMCCCCCCCAGAAAACAGAAAAACAAAACAAAAAAAGGAGGCAAGGAGAAAAGGAAGATAAAAGAAAAATGGAACAAAAAAACATGAAACAAATATATTACAAGTAAGAAAAAGGTAATTTTTTAAAAATCAGTTTTTATCATATAGCTCTTTATTTTTATGTGGTGCTGAAGATCGAAATGATTGCAATACATCATACACAAATTGATAGAAAGGAGAAGTAAATAAATCCACAGTTACAATTGGAGACTTTAATATTCCTTTTGCAATGATCAAYAGAATTAGTAGACAGGGCTAGGCGCAGTGGTGCAYGCCTGTAATCCCAGTGGCTCCTCGGGAGGCTGAGGCAGGAGGATCATGGGTTCCAAGCCAGCCTCAGTGAAAACAAGGTGCTAAGCAACTCTGTAAGACCCTGTCTCTAAATAAAATACAAATAGGGCTGGGGATGTGGCTCAGTGGCCAAGTGCTCCTAAGTTCAATCCCTGGTTTCCCCCACACCCTGCCCCCCCAAAAAAGGCCTTTTCTCCAATATGATTGCATGAAGGGTTAGAGCTTCAACATAGGAATTTGGGGTTGAGGACATGGCAACTTTAGCTTGCATATGTATTTTATTATATGGTACCTGTTTCTTCCTCCACTAGATTTTGAGATCCTTAAGTATGGGGAATTTTGCTAATTTACTTGTTCATCTCTAATACTTCATACACAATAAACACTCAATAAACATTTTAAATGAATAATTAGATGGAGTCGTTCACTTCTGTGCTCATATCATAGATAATGATATCACTATGCATCTGTCTTCCCAAACTATAAATCTTTTTTAAAATTTTAGTTGTAARTGGACACAATACCTTTATTTTATCTATTTTATTTTTATATGGTGCTGAGGATCGAACCCAGTGCCTCACACATGCTAGGCAAGTGCCATACCACTGAGCTACAACCTGAGCCCCACACTATAAATCTTAAGGCTTTTTTTTTTTTTTAACTTTTTCCTTTAATATTCTATGTTCAATGTATAGTTACTGTCAAGACTTTTACCTTCTAAAGGTTTTTCAAATCCATTCCTTCTCTGGCTCCAGGGGTACATCTTACCCTTCCTCATTTTACAATTTGTTTCAGTTGTTTCTTAAAGGGGCTTCTGTCTTCCAGTGTTTACCCATCCAACTCATACTTTGTTGCTAGATTAATCTTTCCAAAGTGCAGTCTAATGTATCACTTCCTTTTAATATCTTCTCATAGCTTTAAGATTTACATCATTTTGTTGTTGTTGTTGTTGTTGTTGTTTTCTGGTACTAGGTATTGAAACCAGAGGCACTTTACCACTGAACTACATCCCCAGCTCTTTTTATTTTGAGACAGTCTCACTAAGTTGCTTAGGGCCTAGCATGGTTGCTGAAGCTGACCTCAAATTTGTGATCCTCCTGCCTCAGCCTTCGGAGTCACTGGGATTGTAGGTGTGTGCCATTGCATTCAGCAGGACCTACATCTTTTTTTTTTTAAAGTATTTATTTTTTAGTTATAGGAGGACACAATATTTTATTTTTATGTGGTGCTGAGAATCAAACCCAATGCCTCACGTATGCTAGGTGAGCGTTCTATCTCTGAGCCCCAGCCCCAGCCCAGGACCTACATCTTAAATCTTAGCCCGTCAGAGTCCTTGTGACTGGCTCTGTCTATGCACTATTTCTTGATGCATTTCTTAAATACATGTTCCCATTTCATATCTTTTGCATGTGCATTACCCTCTTTCTGGAGTGCCTTTGCAACATGTCAATCTTATGATTTTTTTTTCTTTTTTTAAAGAAATCTTTTATTTTTTTATTTTTTTTAATTTTTTTTAAAGAGAGAGGGAGAGAGGGAGAAAGAGAGAGAGAATTTTTAATATTTATTTTTTAGTTTTTGGCAGACACAACATCTTTGTTTGTATGTGGTGCTGAGGATCGAACCTGGGCCGCACGCATGCCAGGCGAGCKCGCTACTGCTTGAGCCACATCCCCAGCCCGATTTTTTTTTTTCTTTTGGTGCTGGGGATTTAACCTGGGACCTCATGAATGCTAGGCAAGTGCACTACCATTGAGCTATACCCCCAGTTTTTTATTTTTATTTTGAGACAAGATCTTATCAAGTTGTGCAGGCTGACTTCAAACTTGCAATACTCTTGCTCCAATCCCTCAAACATCTGAAATTTCAGGCATGTGCCATGATGCATGTTGTAGTTGATTTTTATATTCTCAAAATCTAATGTGTAGAAGGTACTCAATTAATGTTTAGTGAATGAATGAATCAGTTATATGATTTTATACCAGAAGTAAATATATATTCACAACTGCCATGTTCCAGGTGCTGGAAAATCATAGCCCGTATGTTATGATAATGGGTAGTTTTTGAAGAAAAACTCCCTCATACTCTTATTTTAAACCCCTTCCCAGAATTGTTGCTGTTGTTTTGATGGGTKTCAGCATCTTAAGGAAGTTAAGAAGTTATGTGTACATGAAATTGCAATATAGATTTTAATAAAAGTTTAATTATTGGCTTTTTGGTCCTTATGACAAAAGTTTCTGATTGGTCTTTTCTCCTAGTCTCAATTATAAGTGCAATTATAAGTACTCATTAATTAATYGGACTTTTTAAAAAATATTTATTTATTTTTTAGGTGTAGATGGTCACAACACAATGCCTTTATTTTTATGTGGTGCTGAGAATCGAACCCGGGTCCCGCCCGTGCTAGGGGAGTGCTCTACCGCTGAGCCACAATCCCAGCCCTAATTGTACTTTTTCTGAAGTACCTTTTTAAAGTATAGAGACAAGTTTGGAACCTGAGTTAAAGTCCACAGGACCAACACCTACAGATTATAGTTAAGAGTTAAAGTAGATCTTATACTTTTAAAACAAGAATCACAGACCCCTTGGAATCTGAGTTTCTAAGCTGACTTTGCCTCTGTGGTTCTTGTTCCTGCTGTGTGTGTGTGTATGTGTGTGTGTGTGTGTGTGTGTGTGTGTGTGTGTGTATGTTACAAATCACATGAGTATTCTCTACTACTAACTGACTATAGCAGAATTTGCAGGTCCTGCTGTGTATGTCTACACTGACTCAGCTGAACTCTTGCTGGGCTTCTCTGTCTGCTTTTGATCTTCAGCAACAGTGCCTGTCAGATCAGTTGCAGTTCCCCTGCTATAAACACCTGGAATGGTTGAGAAATGATGGTCCTTGTGATAATGTTCATACCTGAAGCACCTCTTTTCCTCATGGTTCTAGTGGTGATTTCCTTTGGATCTTGTTCTATGGACATGGCATTTTGCAAGACTGTGAGAGCTTTGCTGTGACCTCTTGCAGTCTCATTCTCCTGAGACATTTTGCGTAACTAAGTGAGGGGTGTTATGGAACAAGTTGAATGTCCTAACCACAGAGTCTCTTTGATTGCAGAATTGCCTCACTCACAGAGTTCTCCAGCTGTGAGCAGCACATGTACAAAAGTGCTCTATTTCACTGACCGGTCACTTACACCCTTCATGGTCAATATACCAAAGAGGTGAGATGCTGGGATCATCTTTTTCTTTTTCTTTTTGTAAAATAAATAAAAGGAAGGGCAGAACCATTGGTTTCTGCCCAAATGAACAGTTGAAAGGTGTTTAAAAAGCCGCACGTCTATGAAGAAGAGCCCAGGAGATTCAAGTTCCAACTTTGTCACTAACCAGTGGCATTATAAAGGACAAATCATGATCTACTCCTAGATACAGGAGTAATAACAGTACTTCCAATCCTGGGAATAATGCAAGTATGTTCCAGGTTTGGAAACATGTTTTTTAAGTGTTCAAAATTGGTCTGCTGATAGACAGGGACTGTGTCTGGCTTTTACTCACTGATCTTTGTTACTATTTAATGAGTGCAACTAATCCACATTGAGAATTTATGTTGAAAGCTTTCCAAAAACTCAGTTAATATACTTCCTCCTATGATAATATAGATTTTAAAAATCTGGAGCCAAGTACTGAGAAGTTATGGAATTTTTCCTTCCCAGAGAATCTACTTATCTGGTCTGGGTTGAAAGATAGCTTTCTAAAGCTAGACAGGTAAAGATAATGATACCTGATTTAATTCTACCAGCCTAGGGAACTGGAATATTGTAGCAAAGAAGGAAATCAAGAGAGCTTAAGCATATTTATAGTTATTTCACAAATTTGATTTCAGAGACCTTATGTCTTACTTCCAAAGAAAAACAGAAAAGTGATCTGGCTACTGCTGAAGCAGTAAATCTACTTTAAATTCTCAGCTCACTGGATTTTTAATGCTATTTTCATGTCCTAGTGGTGACTGGTTTCCTAACCTCTGCYATTTTAGAGTTATCTTGGTTTCCAGGGGCAGTGACCTAATAGGGTCATGCTGTTTCTGCCTGTTGACTTTGGCATGGGCCTGGTTTAAAGCTAACACCTTATCTTTCCAACCCATTATTTTGTTGATACTCCCCTTTTGTTGCAGGTTGGGAGAAGTGACTTTGAAGGATTTTAAAGCAGCTATTGATCGGGAAGGGAATCATCGGTATCACTTCAAAGCATTGGATCCTGAGTTTGGCACTGTCAAAGAGGAGGTACAGAATCCATGGGGAATCTGGGTAGTATTACTTGTCATACTAGAACTCCACAACCTCCTGTTTAAGGACTAGTACTCATGAGTACCTAAATTCCCTAATCTGGTCAGAGGAACTTTCTGGCACCTTTGGTCTAATAAAGTCATAGAATAGGCAAGATGATAGAACTTGATCATCTTGACTGAGACTTTGGATAGTATTTTTATTTTGAAAAGGAAAAGGTTTTATTTTGTTAAGGAAAATAAAAACCTCAAGACAATAAAATAAAGACCTTTTCTAGCTGTAGCTGCATCTTAGAATTTTTTCCTACATCGAACAAAATAAAYAAACAGGCACGAAGACTCAGAACTATATATTATGTGGTGGTGGTTTCTCCTAGTGAGAACAAAGATAGCCATCTATGCTGATTTCCAACTCCTTGAGTATTTTTTTTTTTATCCTGTGCCTCTCTTTATAATCCATTTGCCAAACATAGCCATTTTGGGGGAAGAGAATTCTGGGTTCTGCTGTATTATTTATTGCAAATACCTTTACTGTGGTTACAGAATGAAAAAGTTGGAAAACCTAATATTTTGCAAAGTTTCCTCACTGAAATAAATGTTTTAATACCCTGTTTTATTAATTTTGTTAGTGGCTTAGGAAATGAATTGAATAAATGAATGAAAAGAACTGTGTCTCAGAGTTGGTCTTCTTTCCAACCCTTTATTCACAATGTCCAATACCAAAATTTTTCCCTTTCTCATTTTAAAAATGTGTCTACTGCTGCTTTGTCCTAAGAAGCCCAAGGTAGTCTGTGATTCACAATTCATTAATTCTTATATATCTCTGAACAAAGCAGCATTAGGGATTTTTTAAAAACCATTTCATAAATGTGGAACTAAGGCAAAACAAACAAACAAACAAACAAATAAAATACCAGTTGCAACATCAGGGACAAAACCAAAGAGAAATAAACACTCAAGCTTCCTTTTACTTTTTTTTTTTTTTCTTTTGCAGTACTAGGGATTGAACCCCTAGGTGCTCTACCACTGAGGTACATCCCCAGCCTGTTTTTATTTTTTTTTTCAGTACTAGGGATTGAACCCCTAGGTGCTCTACCACTGAGGTACATCCCCAGCCTGTTTTTATTTATTTTATTGGTACTAGGGATTGAATCCTGAGGCACTTTACCACTGAGCTACATTTCCAGTCTTTTTTTTTTTTTAAGAGAGAGTGAGAGAGGAGAGAGAGAGAGAGAATTTTTTAATATTTATTTTTTAGTTTTTGGCGGACATAACATCTTTGTTTGTATGTGGTGCTGAGGATCGAACCCGGGCCGCACGCATGCCAGGCGAGCGCGCTACCGCTTGAGCCACATCCCCAGCCCCAGTCTTTTTTATTTTTTAGACAGAGTCTCACAAAGTTGCTGAGGCTGGCCTCAAATTTTCAGCCCTCCTGCCTCAGCCTCCCAAGTCATTGAGATTAATGTTCTACAATTCCCAGTGTTGCTTCTATACTCTATCCCTAATGTTTGCATTCTTTTATCAGCAGCAGTTGTTTAGTGAAACTACCTACCATACTCTGTATTTTTTTTCACTGTGGCTTTTTTGTTTACCTAGGTTTTTCATGATGATGATGCCATCCCTGGATGGGAAGGGAAAATTGTAGCCTGGGTGGAAGAAGACCATGGAGAGAATTAATGCTGAGTATTGGAACCTGGTCACTCCTGGCTGCTTCACTCAGGAAAGGGGACTTAAACCAGAGTACATTAAGAAGTTTCTAATTTGTGCAGCCAAAACAGAAGCTTCTCCAAGTATGATGGTTATCTGCTAGACCTGTTTCTGTGCCTGGCATGTCTGGTACTTAAAATCCCTGTCCATATGTGGACCATGGGTTCATCTGGAGTTCCTTGTCCATGGGAAGTGTTTTGTTCACTCTGAGGATAACAAACCGAAGGCCTTAACCAATGGGGATGGATGATCTCACTCCTGTAGGGGCATGGCTGCTATTATCTGGAACCTAGGAATTGGATGCATTACTCCTGTGTGTTACAGTATTAATTTAATTGGCCTCAATGGTTACAGCAATCAGAGTCCCAGCATTGTACTCACAGACAAGGCAAAGGTACCAACTTTTCTGCTTCTTTGCAGATACCACAAACCAAGAATAACTCGTGAGGTGGTACCAAAGATGAAAGCCCACTCTTCAATAATTGTTTGAACTGAACATGGATGGTGCTGAATTTTTGATTGGATGGAAAAAGGGCTGCCCCATATTGTGCTATTCTATTCTAAAACCATAATTAAGACCTTGGGCTGCCTCTTCTGGTCTTATCTGGTTCTGCATCTTGTCRTTCAGCCCACATAGGGCATATTTCATGTACTGCTAGTTTTCTCTGGGGACTCTTAAACTTTAGAGCCATTTATTTTTCTTCCAACAGATGAACTTTGTTTTTGAAAAGAATAAGGAGTGAAAGGCTCCTTAAAAATCCAGGCGGGTATGGAAAGGTGCTGCTACCCATATCTTCTTGACTTTGTCTCATGACTTTCTTTAACTCATAACATCATCTTTGCAGTTAAGAGGAGACAGACCATTAATTTCAGTGTTTCTTTGTGATTTATGTGTATTGAACATGAATTACTGGTCTGCCCCTCATTTCAAGGCTGGAGTTATTTTCTACTATACATTTAGTCTAGGCTGATCCTCTAGGGCATAATAGAAACCATGGGGCATGGAGCATGAGTTGTAAATGGGAAAGTTGATTCAGGGTGAAGAAACCTAGAATCATTTCGAATGTGCAACACTGTCAAGTGTAGAAGCTACAAGTGTTCAATTTTCAGAGTTTATTTAACAACGTGAATTTTCTCATTCATCCACCAGTACCATCAACCACTCAGCCATTATTCATATATATATATATATATATATATATATACACATATGTATATATATACATATATATGTATATTAAATACACACACACACACACACACACACACACAAACTTCCAAAAGCAGTCTGGACCACCAATGTACACTGCCAAATAGAAGAGTAGGACAGATCTCAGTTCTGGGTTCTTGACCTGTCTGTGTCCAATTCATCTCCCCTTTTCAGCCACTTGAACAGACTACTCTTGGAACTCTTGAAATAACATCTTGTTTTATATAGATGTGTCTTTTAAAAATAGTTCATGTTTGGAGAATTCTTTTGTACTCATTTGCTTTTTGTCTGAGAACCATGTCTATTTTTATAACTCAAGTGTGAGTTCTATATACTCTCACATTCTGTATACTGTGTTGCATTTTCTAGAGAACCCAGTAGCTTTTATACAGTCTCTTCTTACACCTCTGTGGTTTCAGAACAAACTTTATTTTATTAAAATTACACTAATGGCCACTAATTCCTGTCCGATTCTACTTGCTATTTTAGTTATGGAGGTAGTTCTGTGTAATCCAGTTTATTACTCTTCTAGCAGATAGAGTTCAAAAGGYATCAGGTGTCTTTGAGTAAGTTTACCTGGTCTTCTATTAAAGAATGATTTTTTTTTCGTCAGAAATAACTGGGAAAATTTGGGAAAGCCAGCCATAGCAGTAATAATTCATTATGAAAGCAAACAGAAGAAAACAGTATATTTTCAGGTTTTTTTTCCTCCTCCCCCAAGAAGTCTGGAAAAAGTTCTTATGTCACCAGTTTCTCTGTTGCATGAATTTTAGTGTTTTGCTCTATGACAGCATGAGGGTTATCAGGCCAAAAGTTTGTTACTGTATTTACAGTAAATTTATCTTGAATGTCTGTCTCTTAAATCAGTTTTTGTTTTCTTTCAGTGAACAGTCTTACCATTATGTGGATTTTTAACTTTTCAGGAAAATTAAATCAGAAAAATTTCAGTCCTCTACTTTTGTGTTTTATTTCTTTTTTGAAAAGGAGCTACATGGCCTTCATCCCTCCATAAAGAGTGTAATTTGAATTCAGGGGAGAACACAAAAGATAACTTCCCAACTTTTAGCTCATGTACCATGGATAATGACTAAACATCCTACTGGAGGACATCACTTTCATAACTGTGTGAATTGTTGTGGTAATCATTCTGGTTTCTAAAGTGAGAGGAACTTCTGAGCAGGTATAGGCATTGATTCATTGTATTTCAATAGACTTCTATTTGGCGGCATTCTAGGGTCCTTGTGACTTATGTATAGTGTTGTCCTCTACTGCTACTGGGATAGACCATCCCACTAATGCTAAAGTTCTCTTTCTGTGAGAAAAAGTAAAGAACTAGAATGTTTATAGAGTTCATAATTTCTAAACCGTGTTTGGTTAAAAACAAAACTAGTTGAGAGCTCAGTTCTTTTAAAAAAAGTCATTTAAAAACTGAAGACTGGTTCTTGGTTCATTCCCTAAATTAGCTGGGATTAGAACACTTCACAATTTGTACCTAAAGAATTTGGTTTTAATACACTTGGTAATGGTAATCCTACTTATGAACTTTTCAGCTCTTTCTGACTGAGATGGTTGTAAGGGAAAATATCTTTGTTCTACATCCAATCTAAGAGGACTATACTTAAAAGCATTTGTTCATAATTAAAATTATTTTCATTTTTTTCCATTAAATAAGTATTATGATTGCACACTCCTTCAATTGTCTGAATTTATGTAAGAGGTATAGCTTGCTTAAAATGCATATATATGTAAAATTATATTTTCTTAGAAACGTGGACGTTTGCAACCATTGCTTTCAAAGAGATTATTATTGTGTATTCTCCATTTTACAGTGTTTTCATGAAAACTATGTTATACCAGCAGCTTCTAATTATTAATAACCAGTTTTAACTGCCTGTACCAGATTTGTCAATTAAAACACACACAGAGAGAGAATAAAATGGAGTTTGCAAACAAAATCCCATCAATCATTTTCATTTATTGACTGAGATTAATCATAAAGCCATTACATTTAGTGAAGGCAGATTTCCTCAAGTGTTCTCCCTGGTAGCATGTTTACTCATTATCTGGAGAGTAGAGATGAAGATTACTTTATTGCTACAGATAGTTTACTACTGGTATTTCTAATTAAGCACAAAATAGGTTATTATGATCAGAGGATTATGTAATTTTGCTCTTCTTTTGAAATTATATGTAAATACACAAATACATTTATTTATTTATTTTGGGTGGTACTGAGAATCAAACTAAGGGCCTCACATATGCTGGGCAAGTGCTTTACTACTAAGCAACATCCTCAGCCCATAAATGTAAAAATAAAAGCCTCAGAGACAAATTTGTAATTTGCAAATACAAACACTAAGGAAAGATTCAGAGATTTCTTTTTCTTTTTTGGTGCTGAGAAATGAACCCAGAACACTATATGCTATTCCACTAAACTACACCCCTCCAGCCAAAAATGTGTATTTACTTATCATTTTCAGATAAAGTCTCACTGTCTTACCTGGGCTAGTTTCCACCTCTTGGTGGGCTCAAGTGTGAATCTTGTGAATGGCAGACTACAGGTCAGCACTAGAACTAGAATTTTCAAATCAATCTGAAAGCTTCAAAATTTAAGTAGGCTCTATTTAGCACTGCAGTTTAAATGTGTGATAAATCTGAACCTTTAGCCTTGAGTGTTTTTGTTTGGCTTTTTTTGGGGGGAGGAGGGTAACTTATGATTGAAYCCAGGTGTCTTAACCCTGAGCCATATCTCCAGCCCTTTTTATTTTTTATTTTGAGGTAGGGTCTCAGTAAGTTGCTTAGGGCCTCACTAAATTGCTGAGCTGGCCTCAAACTTGCAATCCTGCTTCAGCCTTTTGAGTTACAGGGATTAGAGGCATGGGCCACCCCACTATGCCTGGCCTGAGTACATACTTTTAACTATTAATTGGCTATCCCATCATTATGTTACTGTTAAATATGTTCAAAACAATTCAAAATATTTCAGTACCAACTAACATCTCTTTCCATCTACCTACTTTGTATCAGTGATATTTCCATTCTATTTAGGACTTTTTGAGTCTTTTAGTTTTCAATTTTCTTTATCCAATCTGTTTAGGCAACTCCAGGCTTGTTCTTTTAGGACTTGAAAACAAAATTCCATTAATCAAATTCCTAATTCTAGGATCAACTTGCCACCCCTGGACTATTTAAGCTGTGCTCTCTTACAATTTAGCTACACTGAAATCAAAGTACATTCAAAATGCAAACTATTGTTGAAAAATACAAAACAAGGTTTATGCAAGCCTACTCAAGTGAACAGTAAAACTGCAGATCACCTAATACTTTATAAAAAAATGCTTAGATACAACCTTTAAAATGCAGTGGAAGTAGCAAGATATTTTAGTCAATTAAAAATAGTTTCGGCATTTTTATAACCACTTATTAAGTTACAGTATAAGCCATTTCATTAATTAATCTTCCATTGCTTCTTCCAATTGTTACTCATAAGTAAAAATTTTACAAAATTATTACTCAATTTTAATTATTTCAAACATGCATTTTCATTTAATCTGGAAATTTTATTTCTCAGTTATGTCTACATAAAATTGTTGGGCAGTTGTGCCTGCTTAAACATTCCCAATTTAAGTAGGTACGAAATAGTCTCASGAGGCTTTCTTTGTTATTATTCCAAATTAATTATCAGGGAAGTTGAATGCTTTCAGACTTTGATTTCCCCCYAATTTCTTCTTGTGTTCTTGGTGTTCCCTGACTGACCATGTGTACAATGGGGACTTCCTCCCAATGTCATCTTCAGCTTAGACATAATGAGCTGTTTTCTAATTATGAAATAACTGTACAATAGAGGTGTACCTAACAAATTGTGTACATAAGTCTTCGTTCATTAATTAAAAAATGCATTTAGCACCCACTATTTACCAGGTACTATATATACTATAACTCTGAAGATGGCAAAGAACAGTTCAAAGATTCCTGCCCCCACTGGCATAGTTTGGTTTTGACATGAAATACACTCAAAAGCCACATAACGGTGTTTGGTTAATGATCTACCAAATATACGATGGTGAGCCCTTAAGATTATATCGCCTAGTGACATTGTAGCCACCTTTGTTTAAATGCACTCTATGATGTTCACACAACCATAAAATAGACTAACAATAAACTTCTCATGATTGCACCTTAAAGCAAGGCTTTTTGGCTATTTAAAGGAATTCTGTGRTGATTAGGAGGTAACACAAATCTGTTTTGCAAACTTTTTAAAATCTTCATACAGGAAGTAGGTTTAATCCTACTAGAGTACATTTGACTGTGGGAATGTGCCTTCCGCCTGGCTGCCCTTCACACCACCTGGCTGGAAAACCTGGTACTGCCGTGTCCCGAGGGGCTACAAACCTGAAATTAAATCTTTGTAACCTAGTACACCCCGCACAGGGAGAGGCCCCAAGCCGGGTCACTTTGGGCCTTGCAGAAACCAAGGGCACATCTCCCGAACCCTTGGACAGSCCCGCAGGCGGTTCCTGGCACCTTATTCTCGTGAAGCGACACTCCAAGCCGCTGCCCCCAGATCTAAGGCTCCCATCGATCGCCCGGCCACTCTGCGGGCGCGTACCCAGCTCCTCGTCAAAACAAGGCCACCCCCCTCCCCCCAGCATCTCTCACAACGCCACTATTAGCCAGGCTCTCTCCGCCTTTTTAGGCCCCGACCCCACAACGACTGTGCTCCTTTCTATCTTCTGGGATGCCTCTCTTAGAACTCCGTCACCTTCCTCCCTTCTCCCATCCTTTGGCCTCCCAAACTGGGCGCCAGCGGCAGCTTCGCTGAAACACGCCTATTCGGGTGGGTCCTAAGTAGTCGCCTCACCGGCCTAGAGCCTCCCAGACCAGGTCCCGGCGGAGGAAGAGCGTTGGTGGGGCGCACTGGACTGCGGAGGGGCGGCGTGAATTCTCCGAACCGGTTTTACGACAACGTGCGGCTGCGCAGAGTGGCTGACGGCAAAGCCGCGCTGCTCTAGGAGAGGTCACTCCGGAGACCGTATAKGTTTTGGGGTGTGGGGGGAATCAGTGGCATTATGTGGCGCGTCTGTGCGAGACGGGCCCAGAGTGCAGCCCCAAGGACGGGACTCGGAGCTCGATGGACGGCCTCCCGGGAGGGATCTGCAGCTCAGTGTGTGAGCCGGCGGTCTGGCCCCGCTCGTTGCAACAGCACAACCACAAGGTATGGCGGGGTCCGGGCATTGGGCGGCTGGAGCCCCAACTCTGGCGCCACTCCGCGGAACCGCTTACTGTTGCAACTTCTGGGCTCGTCTAGCCGCCGCAGTTATAGTCTCCCCCCGCATCAGAAGGT